CAGGCATCACTGGACAGTTGGGACGAGACTGAGATCGGAGACCTGCGAGGTACAAGGGGGGAATTGAAGGGGTTCATCCTGCAAAGTGAATGGGAGACCCGCTCTGCTTTCCCTTTGGAACCCATCCAAAGGGCTCCAACTAATTTTGGACAGCCCCAACCAGCCGGCTCAGATTGATATGGACTGGACGGCTCAATTTCGCAAAAGCTGGTGCTGCCCATGGATCACAGTGCGACCCAACGAATCCCTCAACTTGTGGAATGCAAGGATTTGATTTTGATGCTTCAGTGCAGGAACATCACCAGGTCAAAATTTGCCCCTTCACAAAGATCACCTCAAAAAAGCCGAAACCTATCCCCCGCTGTCTCCCAATATTGAGAACCCAACTGACCAACGCATTTGAATACGTCTTGTTCCCTGCTACCTAGGAAAGCATAAGTACTGGACACACCCCCTGCAAGCGGAGGGAAATCGCCTTTTTTGGGACGACTTGGTTGCAACTTGCCATTTTCTTGCAGAAATGACCGGCGCGGATCCTGAGTGTCGACCAGCAGGGTCGCATCGAAGACCATGTGGCACATACGGCTCCACCACTTCTGCCACCTGCTAGGCGGCCAGTACCGCCCAAATCAAGATCAACTAGAACCACGCTTCCCTTGACTCTTGCTTTCTTGCCCCCTTTGGAGTACCTAGAGTCTCCATGACCCTTAAAACATGGGTCCATGACCCTTAATTTTGGGTAATCACCCATTTTTTAAGGGTCATGGAGACTCCAGGTAGAAGCTTTGTTGGCGGACGTCCCCTTTGAATCAACCAACCCCCTCTGTAGGCGGCGACACGTGCTTTGCCGGAATTCTCCCCCCTGGCCTACGGTTTAAAATGACAAACAAAGTACTGGATTGCTCTGGAACAGAACTTGACAGCATGGCTGAGCAGCCCGTAGAAGAATAATACCTTGCAGTTTCGGTTAACCTGCAAATCCAGCTCTTGAGCCAGTTAAAACTAAACACGATTTTTCAGGGTGTAATATGTTGACTGTACCTCTCAGCTATCTCTTCACACGAGAGGACACTTATATATTGAGATGTTGACAAATCATTATGTTTTCATAATTCCTACCAGGCGCCTGGACAACAAACAGCCTTGTATTCCCAAAACATATCATTCACCCAAAGGAAACTTGGACGGAAATTAGCAAGCCACCTGCAAGCTTCAACTGAGAGGACATGTGCGGACTCGCAGTGCGGACAAACCGCCCTGCCCTTCAATATGCATGGGAAGACGAGTGGGCAACTCACAGTTGCGCACGCCAAGCCCGGTGTGTCTCCTCAAAATAAGCGACAAACAAAACAGAATTGAGAACCAACCTCGCCTGACCCTTTGCAGATTTGTGTTTTCAAAAACACGGTGCACTTCTCTTTTGGTTTACCAACCAACCAACCAACCAACCAACCAACCAACCAACCAACCAACCAACCAACCAACCAACCAACCAACCAACCAACCAACCAACCAACCAACCAACCAACCAACCAACCAACCAATTAACCAGCCACACACACACACACCCACACACACACACACACTCACGCACGGGTTTGTCTGTTCTTTGAGTGTACCCTTTTCTAAGAGGAAACGCACCCGAAGAAAATGCACCACACCCTCACGATGTCGAACTCCTCACCGCTGACCCCGCGGGCCTGTCGCCCATGACCTTGTCGATGAGCATGGAGGTGACCTCCTGCATGGACCCGGTGACTTCGAACTGGCTCCCCAACGTGCACTCCTGGATCAGGTGCCCCTGCACCTGGCCATGTGTCAAAATCGGGGGAGCCCCAAACTGGTGGTGACATGGTAGTGTTCCTCTTCCAACCAAAGTTCAAAGGGTAGCCTCAAAAAGAAACATGCATATTCTGTTGCCAATTTATTGCAGCATTCCAAGGAAAATCCTTAAGCCTTAAGCAAAATCGGTGTAACAGGAAACTACAACAGGAAACTCAATTGGTTGGTGGGTTCCAAGGGTCAACTGCAACATCGGCTTCCCATTAAACTGCCACTCTGGGAGGTCCAGAAACTGAAAGACCTGTCTGAAATTCGGCGGTTCTTTCTCCTTCGGCGGGGTTCAACCAAGTGCAACGATTTGCAACCAAGCGGCCCTTGGCCCGCGCAGACTGGTACCACAGAAAGTGATCCCACAAAAGTCGCAGTTCCGAGCGCCACCAGATTTGGGTGTGGGTCAAGAATAGGTACTCAAAATTGAAACTTGGTAGGTGGAAACAAGAACTAAAGCCCGCGCTATCCTGGTGCTTTGCTTTTGACCCACACTCTTTGTTTGGCAGCCTGACACCTGGAAATAAACACTCCTTTACCCCTCATGGTCATGGCTGAACCATGATAAGGTAGGGGGTCAGTCCTGCTGCTTAAGATTATGTCCAATTGAAACCAAGCAAAACAAAGCAGTGGCAGGCAGGATGTATGCCCACCGGTTCGTCTACGCATTGACCCCCTCACAGCCTCAAACAGCAAACATGGTCATTATGTGGCACGGTAACCATAAATCATGTGTCAGTTGAAGTCTCAGCTTGCCGTTTGTAGTAGGGTGCCACGGTCAGCATGGCGAAAGTTACCACTGAGCCCCTGATATTTGCGAGAAATTGGGTGAGTCCGCTATTTGAACGGTCGTGTTCAGAAACTTAAACGGTCTTATTAGGAAACTAAACGGTCTCATTCGGAAGCTAACATGTTTTAAATCTGAAACTAAACATTCTTTGGACACCAAGACCTGATTTGAGAGCTAAATCGGTCAGACTCGGACACTACTAAGGCCTGATTCGGGAACTAAAGATTATGCAGAAACTAACACAGTCTGATTCGGAAACTAAAGTGGTCCGATTTGGAAAAAAACGAAGGCCTGATTCGGAAACTACCCAAAAGAACGTGTTGCGTTGCAGTTGTGGCCCGGAGCTCAACATCTCCCCCACACCCCACCCGTTTCTGAATTGTGGTTTGCTGAGTCGGGCCTTTTTTGTCACTGACTTGCTCACTCCTTTCAGTCCCCTGGGTCGTTGGGGGAAGCCCAGGCCACGGCACCTTGTACCACTTCACACTTCCATTGGGTGCTTCAAAGCAGAACTCGTAGCCGAAGTCTGTGGTCACCTTGCAGCTCGACTGGGCTGTTCTCAAAACTTGGGATGGCATTGATGCTCTTCGAGGGATCTCTCGAAGATAGACCCACATTGAGCCCTCGAAGAAGCCAGCAACGTACCTATGAAGCATACCACAGCCCTGCGATAAAATTCCGTTCATTGAAGGGTGGTGGCTCTGCCCCAAAAAGTATGGACGGTTCTTGGACCTACACAATTGGTGTTGAATCTCATTAGCGACCCTTTCCAAATGAGTGGTAGTTTTTCTTCCCATTAACATTTGCAGTGACGTATCAAACCTTTCCGCGGAACCTTCCGCGAAGCTTCCGCGGTGTGAAAGGTACCTTCCGCAAGCATGTTTCTATGTAAGTTTATATAAGTGCTTCCGCGGGCCTTCCGCAGACAAGTTACTTCTGAAAACCTGAAGAAGGTAGCTTCCACGAGGCAATTCGTGCGCACGGTTTGCTAAAAAGCGTGCTTGGCAACAACCACCCAAACGAAATCAATCTACTATATGCAAATCAACCGTCCCTTCCGCGAGCTTCCGCGGGAAGAAAACCTTCCGCAAACCTTTCGCGGCTGCAGTGCGGCGCTACCTTTTTTGTTGATATGTCAACATCCACACACGGTTGCTTGAGGGGAAAAGAAAACCACCACTCAAATGGCTCTCCTTGCTGCTTCCATGACCTTCCCGAAAAGGTTTGAGCTCATGACCACAGCCATGCTTTTAACTATGGGACACGGCTATCCCAGGAAACTGCCATCAGCCCAGCCCCGTGGAGAGTCTCTGAGAGTGGTTCAAGGGGTGGTGGAGGCCCCCATGCATTCTGCGCTCCAGCTTGACACCTTCCATTGATGGTCAATCCGCAACATCCCGACAAAGATTGATTTTTTTGGCGCCATACACGGATGGGACTCATAAACGGGATCTACTTGCGTGGCTATATACAGCAATGGTAGGGAACGTTATGCAACATGTCTGAAGCCTATATACCAAAGCCAGCTTCACAGGAATCTATCCAACATTGGAGGATACTAATAGCGAGCCTCTGGGAACATCATACATTCCGTTTAGATTGGGGGTGCCAACCTATTATATCATTGTATACCTGGTACACATCCTGGGGTATTGAAGGACTACGTATATATATATATATACAAAGATACATAATATGTGTACAAAGATCATAAGCTTTGAGGCAGGCACCGCCTGCCCTAAGGGTCCGACTGTTTTGGGGGTCCTCGCAGTATGAGGCCTCAGGACAAACACTTCACCCCTAGTTTGGTCCCACTGCAAGGTTGCTGCGCAGCCATCTGTTATCTTCACCTGGTCGATTTCTTCAAGGTACGGTTGATGCTCCAAAGCTCGCAAGTAGGGAACAAGGAAACCTTTGTCAGGTTGGTCTTGCAATACTCAGGACAAACGTGCCTCTCTTGCCTTGGAAGCAACCAGAGACGCAGTAAACTCCTTGTTTGGCTGTTCATGTCCAGTGAGGAACAAAATGGCACGAAAAGAAGAACAAGGATGAAAACTAGCGGGGTCACCTTGTGGACCTGTTTGTTCACCATTTGGACCACTCTCGGAACAGCTCGATTCTGGCCTTACCATACAATATGCCAACAACGTCTAGTATAAACAAACAAATGGCTTGTCAACAACCAGTCCTGTCCATCGTTCCAGAATTCAAACCCCTGCGTCTCTCAGCAAAACAGGGTCCCCAAATGAGGATGCCTCCAAAACGATCTCGTGTTCCATGTTAACCTGGGACGTGGTTTCTCACCTCTCCTTGGTTGACGTTGGAAGGGGAGCAAAAATTTAAATTTTAGCAGTTAAGTGGGGATTTCCCACTAAACCACAATAAGCAAACATGTAAAATGCTTCCCAACAACAACCATGTCTCCACCTCCAACCGTCTCGGTTCAAATCGAGGCACGATCTCCGTCCGCTCCGACTTCTCGGGGGGCGGGGCGCCCTCCTGGGCCCCTTTCCGGCGCATCCAGAAATCCTGGCCTCAGAACTTCCAGGGCCGGAGGTGTTCCCTTCCCCGGGTGGGTGTGGGTGGGTGTGGGGGTGGGGGTGGGGCCCCCCCAGACCAAACCCCAAGCCTTGTTTAGAGCTCACACCTGATTTTCCCTTTCGTCTTATAAGGGATATGGTCCAGAGGCTCCTGGAGCCCTGGATGCCCTTCTCTACACCTAACTTGTCCTTTACTGGTGTCTTATGCTTCAAGGTGTGTCCAGTCTGGTGGTACATCCAATTTGGATTCAAGCAGTAAAAGCGTGCAAAAGCGTGCTTCCGTGGGACTCTGGGATCTCATGAGGGATTCAATCCTGGGGGTTCCAGTCTTTTTCCCAGAGTCAACTGGGGCCCTCGCACATTGTCTTCAGGATCGACACGAAAGATGCGCGCCACAGCACCATGCGGGGGTCGCACAGGTCCATCTGCGCCTGCTGGGAGATCAAGTGCTCAATCTCCCGGGTCTTGCTATCCTCGGGTCCATTACACCGGCTCGGTGTGTCAAAGCATGGGTGTGAATTTTGATTGGGGGGTGCTCCGAAAATCAAATTCGGGCGGGATTGTTCATTTGGGAGTTTATCGTTAACATTCATTGCCGAATGGGTGAGATGGAACGGCCAATTTGTGGCCTTCTTTGTTTCTGAGGGGGAGGTTGTTCCACAAATCGTGGTCCCCGAAATTCCTTTTGGTTTGGTTCCCTTCAAAGACAAAGCTAAAGCGGGTCCATGTCCAACAGGAAGCAACGTGGGGGGATGAGCAAGGGAGCGCGGCTGGCAATGTCGTTTGTCTGTCACTCCTTTTGACCCTTTCCACCGGGGTCCCAGGCCCCAAAACCGGCGGGGAACCGCCAAGAGTTCCTGTTGGTTTCCATTGGAAATTGCCCCAAATGGTACCTTTTCAAAAATTGGCTAAGCCCGATAGAGCCTTCCCAGACCTCACGGAAGATGCAGGGCCCCCGAGCGGATTCTGGAAAGTTTGGACACGCAGCTTATCGCGTTTGGGCCCCCCTTGGAATTAGCTTGCTTCATCTGGAAGCTGACCCAGGTGTTGTGTGGCTCCGTCTCATAAATGTTGCGAAAAACAGGCCTTCCGGGTGTCCTTTCGGAAACATAGATGCCACTGGCAAACAAAAAAAACTACACTAAAGCCACCGGACGCCATCAATTTTCAACCACAAAAGGGACACCCATGGTTGCAAGTGCCATTTTGTGAGCCATTGGCGCGACCATGGGGGACAAGGGTCTGTGACGACCCCGGTCTTGGCATTGCCCTTGAGCGACCAAACCGCCGCTCCGCAAATCCGCACGTAGTTGGCCAGCCTTTGGTCGAGCGCCCGGGCACACATCGCTTCCTAACACCCTTGTTTGTTGTTTTGCGGCTGGTTGATGCATGCATTGCCCAAGAAAGGCAAACATGGCAAGGCGGTCCTTGTGGTGTCCTGGAAAAATCATCCTGAGGGGATGAAAACTAGAAACAGAGCTTACACCAGGAAACCAATGTCCGCACAAACTTCTTCAAGAGTAAACACATATAAACTAACGCAAGGGGAAGCTTCGTCGCCAGGCTACAGGGGTGGGAATCCGAGCTGGATTCGGTTTGAAGTTGAGCCAGCGTAGGGAAGGCTTGAGGGTTTGTAGATCTTTCTATTTGTTGCATGTGAGAGAATCCGAATCTTTGAGGCAAGGGCCCACTTTGCCAGACCTCGGCTCCCCCGCAAAACGTTGCCCGTTTGCCGGAAGAGCATTCTGGAAACCCAAGACAGCAGAAGGGCAAACAAAGGTTCGACAGCATTGAACTGATTTGATAATTGCTTCCCTTAAGAATACATACCCCTCGATGATAGACACCTATGCATACCCCTACCAAATATTCTGTGAACGACACGCTTATTGACTTAATCTCGGGTGACACGGGCTTCCACTTCGATACATGGTCCAAATGTGCTCGGCGGAGATACATTCACGCACGTACGCACACACACACACACAGACTCGAAGTTGAAGCTGGCATTGCCCCGTGGGCACTTTTTGCGGCACGCCAAACAAGAGTAGGGAAGCTGGAACTGTTTTGCAAGTGTTGTAGATAAATGAATATATATATATATATATATATATGCGCTTCGGAGGGGCCCTGATTATTGACATTGTGTGGCCGCAATTAAAAGGGGGTTCACAAAGAATCCATTTCATTCTGGACCTTGTATTGATACCTTTTTTTTCGGTTGCTTTTTTCGCTGCTCGAACACATAGTTTGTGCCCGATTCTTCAATTTCTGCCAGCAATGGAAAAGTGCCCGAGGTTCATATTTTCAAATGAGCACTTTTCAAAGTTGCGCTCGTTTGCGGGTTTTTGCGCTCGTTTTGCGGGCCGTTGCGGGCGTTTTTGCACAATTTCTGCTCGAGTAGGTCATATTAGGACCTGACAGCCCACATGCCTCCAAAAACTGCTCGAGGTCCCAAAAAAGAGGACAAGCCAAGATAAAAAGGTACGAATTCCAAAAACCAGCCGATTGACAGGGAAGGCAGAAATTTCAGGTACGTTTGAAGGTCCAGGATGACGCATGAGAGCGAGATGACACTTTGACCACTTGGATTCAGGCTTGCTGAACAAGCTACCGGTTCCTTCCAAGCCCTCGATATGTGTACCGGTATTGTTTGGTGGAGCTCATAAGTTGTTGGCTGGCGTTGGTGACCGACAGTCACTTGTCTTTCCATTGGCCAGTCGCCACTCAAGTGCTGCCACGCCGCATCTTGGACTCGCACCGTAGCTCGGTGATGTCCTGCGCAGGACTGCCGACCGCCACTTCTTGCATATATGGGTATGGTATATTTGGTCAAGGCAAGGATGGATGCTCAAGGCCTTCAGACAGCCTTTAGGGTGGGTACGCTGAATGCCCTGAATGCTGAAAGCTTGGAACAAGGGAAGCGATGGCTTTTGTGGCTAGTCGTCTTGCAACAGTTGTGGAATCATTCGTATGACACCCAAACCTGATTAACTTCCCTCGCCACCTTCCCTCTAAGCGGGTTGCCATCACCAAACGAGTGGCTTGGAGGCAGGTGGGGTTTGCTTTAGGTGTACCAGGGTCTAATTGCCTGAGCCCATTTGCCCACATCAACTCCGCCCAGCAGTCATGGCCGATGCCGATGACCCCCATGATGCCGTTGCTCTTGTCCCTGCGCGCGGTGGCGCTCCAAAGGATGTCCTTCCTGAGCCCGCTCTTCGTCCACAGCGAGAACTCGTAGTTGGTGATCTCCTACCAAGTGCTTAGCGGCTGGGAGGGTGTTTGCGGGTGTGGACGCTTGGGGGGGTGGGTGGCTTGGGGGGCTCGGAAGCCAAGCAGGGCAAATAGCAGATCTGAAAACAAAGGACTCCCAAGACGGGAACCTCCATCAAGCCCCAAACAGCCACCGAACAGACTTGACAACCAACATATAGCCAGCATTGCTGGTGAGCATGCGCCCTGTAGGTTCAAAGGTTCTGTGATCTAGCTGCATGCCGCTTGAGAATCCGACTCAAGTGGCTCCCTGCTTGCCCCTGCGAATGGTGGAGGCTTGGGTTTGCACCCGCAAGCAATACAGACAAACAAACAAACAAACAAACAAACAAACAAACAAACAAACAGCAAACACCCACGCACACGCACAACAAAAGGAGTAGACAATCCAAAGCAGCAAAAAGGATCATTCAAGCATTTTTATCGCCATATGTGTTCTCCCTTTTTGACCCCGTCCAAAACCGTTGTGGGGCGGGCTGGTTCTTACACAAAAACAGCAAACAAACCAACAGTTCGGCAACCAGCAACAAACTTGCCATTAAAGCGCACCTTTCTACCCATCATCTTTCCTTTCTTACCCCTTTCTTTTTCTCGTCTTTTCCTCGCTCTATGTGTTCTTTCTCTTCCCCTTGTATTTTTCGCATACGGCTGTGGGTTACAACCCAGTACCCCTGGTGAACATCAAAAAAGGTGCTACATGGGTGTTCATCCGCCCCCAAATGGAGGCCCAAGGCCATATTGTTTGTTCCTTTTTTCCCGCTTTTTATGTGTTTCTCGCTTTTTGGCTGATTCTCGCCAGCTGTGTTCCTTTTGTTTCCCCATTTCTTTTGTTTCCCATGTGTCTCCCCATATTTTGTACTTTTTCGCCCATTCTTTGGCGCTGAACCCGAAAGAAGTTTGTTTCCCCATTCTTTTCCCCGCATTTTATCTGAACCCAAAATTTCCTCGCCCTATGTGTTCCTTCTCTTCCCCTTGTACTTTCGCCTATCTTCTTGGCCGAACCCGAGAGGAAAGACCTTCGCTCCTCCCCTTAAGTATTTCTTCGCCTTTGTCTCTCTCCGGCCAAACCCGAAAGCGAAGAAAAGTTCGCTGTGCGCTCCTGGCCGTTCATGCCCTGGGTGAGCATGGTCTGCACCGAGTCCGAGAACTCCTCCGCGACGAAGTGCTGCACCAGGCGCTTGCCCGAGGCCTCGTCCTTGCTGAAGCCCGTCAGCAGCTCCGCCCCGCGGTTCCACTCCTGGCATGAAAATTCTGGCCCCTCAAAAAAAAAGGGGTTCAACCAAAGTGGTGGCTCTTTTTCGGTGTTTTCGGGTTTTTAGTGTTTTCTTTCTATTTTGTTTTTTTTGGGGGTTCAACCCAACTTGGTGGCTCTGACTTGGTGCTTTCCGTTTTGCTTTTGGAAGTTGGTACCCTTTTTGGCACCTGGGGATTTGGGCATCACTGGATTTTTGTCTGAGGTTGCAGCTGACGGGTGGCTTCCACTAAAACTGCAACCTTTTGGAGGGTCTGGGAAAGGGTTTGCCAAATTGGCCTTGTCTTCTGTTGTTTGTTTGTTTGTTTGTTTGTTTGTTTGTTTGTTTGCTTTTAGTTGGTACCCCTTTGATGACCTGGTAAATGGGTGTTGGTTGTTGTTTGGGCATGGTTGTCCTTTTGGTTCTCTCTCTCTCTCTCCACGCGTGTGTTTGCCTCTGTGTGCGGGATGATGCGAGCCTCCAAAATGGATGCTTTTTCCCTCTGGTTTGCAGTTGAAAGGCTGAAAGGACCCATATTGGCAGGGCACCCGTTCAAACAAACCAATGCTGTACATTCAAGGGACCCTGTTGACATCTTGAGAAATTTGTGTACCAAACTTGAGATTGCTGTTTCATGCCAAGATGGGAGTGGGTCAAAAAAATATACTCAAAATGGGTTGCCCGATCGGCGAATGGGTTGCCACGGGCTAAAACCTGCGGTCCAATTCCTGGTGCTGAATGTTTTTGACCCATACCACCCATGCCCAATATGGTCTTGTCTCTCGGGCCCAGGGTACCAACTCCCCCTGCCCAGTCCTTTAGCCAAGGCCCAACGGCAAGGTCTTGGGCACTTCTTGGGGATGTTGTCAAGGGAACCAATTCTCTGTTTGCCCCTTTGGGTTTCGGCCCAAGTTGGCCTGGGTGGTGCTTAGTCTTCCAAATCCTTTTCAGCTTGAGGAACCGGCACCGATGTTTCCACCTCAGTGGGGACACGGTGGGCTGGGGGGGTACAATACCTTTTGTTCAAGTTCAGTACCTCACAACATCAAACCAAACAGGTCCCTTTTGTCTTGGCCGGATCGAGTGAGGCTCCTCCACACAGCCGTGCCTGTCCACCGCTATGAGGGGTGCGTTCACAGCTCCTGGGATGGGCTGCTTGCAGGGAGATGTCTCCGTTCCTAGAGGACGCGGAGCCATCCGTCTGTCTGTTCCAAGTAGACTCAAAGGAACCGTCCGGATCCAGACTGCAGCTTGGAGCACATGGCTGGATTTGGTTTTGTCCGGAGGTTTTCGCGAAATGGGGGGGGGGTCCCGCCAAAATGGGTGGTTTCCCGCTTGCGCCCCTTTCAAATGACCAAGGCAGGGTGCCCAAACAAGGCATGCCCATACAATATCCAGTTCCCTCGCTAACGTTCAATCGCCTGGCGCGGTACAAAACCAGAAAGCCATGCACTTGTGGGGTGTGGAGAGCATGACAGCTTGAGCAGATCAGCAGACAAATGGGCGGGATAACTACATCCCTGCTTGGTTAGTAGCGGGGGCGCTCCAACTTTTGAGGTGATCCTTCACTTTTGGGGGAGGCAAAGCCTCCCTCCGCCAGGTTGATGTATCCGACATCAGACCTCCGGTGGCCCCGTGAACAAAGGGCACCTGTTTTTTTTGATTGGCCTTGAGGGGAAAGCCCATCCCCAAAAAACATGAAGAAACGACACCCACTAGACATCTGGGCATTACAATTCCACCCCTCTTGGTTTGCTTTGGACCCACGCAAAGCTATTTGGCACGGCAATCCGTAACTGCAAGGCCGAGGGGCGTATGAGCCTGTCCTGCATGGTGAGCTCTGACTGAGAGCTTTTCAGCACATCAGTCAACTCCTGCGAGCGCGCGAGAGCCGATCGAAGCAGCTGACGGCACTGAGCCCAGCAGCACCAAGACGTTTAGCCGCTTGCGTGTTCAGAAAACTTCAAGCTGTTAAGATCACCCGGTTTCCGGTGCAAATCAGGGAGACTGCGGTCTTCAGGCTTCACCACAACTCAGCAACTTGGCATCTTAGATTCTCCCCCTCCCCCCCGCCACCCCCCGTTTTGCATCTGCCTCCTCCCATGGATTTCGTTTTGGACACACAGCCGCCCTTGGAGCTACGGACGTTCGTCAACAACGAAATGGGAGGGAACATCACCGTGAGACAAACATGCTTCTTCCTGGCGAACATGACACGAAGCGAGCAATTGTGAAGTTATCCACGTTCCTTAATCACGGCTGAATCATTCACACTCATTCCCCTAGTATGTCAATATCATGTCTTTAGCTGAATTGTGGATGATCTATCATCGATTCTGGAACAATTCATGGGAGGAACATTGGTGATTGACCCAGCCCTTCTCATCCTGCAAAAGATCGCCCGAAGCCGGGCGAAACATGGCGGTTGGCCAACAAATCAGAACTCGGGCCCCATTTGCCGCGCCCTAGACTCCCAGTGCGCGTTATAGTGGCTCCATTCAGGGGAACCTCCAAAAAATCCGAACGGCCTCGACCGTGGCACATTCGGCGGTCTTACTTTTGCCATTGCCACATGCGCAAACTCGTGGGTTCCGGGTTTTCATGAGCAAAACAATGGACTGTCCGCACCGGCCCATGGACATCTCGACCGAACCGAACACCCAACAGCCCAACAACCCCACAGCGCCCTTCACCCAACAGCCCAGACAGCCAGCCCAGCCCAACCAACAGCCCAACAGCAGGCCGAGTTGGCCGAACCACATCCTGGGCGATGTACAGCACACCCCAGCTGTCGCGACTGCTGGCGCTTGGGCAGCTGGAGGCCAGGAACAGCACCTGAGCCAAGCTGAAGGCCGAAGAGACTGCGACCCATGACTGTGTGTTCGGGGCACCCTTTCTTGGGTTTGTTCAGTTCAGGTTCGGTGAAGACACGGGCAATATCTGTGGCTTTGTCTTTTTTTTCTGTCTTAAAGGGAAACAAGACAATCTCAGCTGGCACCCAGGGCCCTGCGGGGTGCAAACGACGTGCTTGCCCGTTTGCACCACTCCTGGCCTCTTGAAGGTTATAAGATTGTCTGGGCACGTATGGGCGCCGTTGATGACTGTATCTCGGCTCTCGTCTTCTTACTGTATTGATACGAGTGGCCTCACCGAAAGCAGGGGACCTGCCAGTTGAACTAATTTTGCTCTCAAAGCCCTCCCCCACATGGAAGCCACCTCAAAAAGGAGAAGCCTGCTACGAAACCACAAACTCCTGCCGACTCTTTATGCTTCCGTCTCTTGGTTTGCATTGCGCGCAATAGGCGCGCCGGTGCACATATGCACCGCTGTGTGCTTGGAAGAGCGGTGCTTATCATGGCTCACACTAACAGCTCTTAGACTCAGCTCTCTTCCAAGAACAAGCTCCAGTCGCAAGAAAATTGCAGGTACCTGCCGGACTTGAGCTTTCCAACTTGGTGCAGAAAGCTGGTACCTGCGAAAATAGTTCAAGATATTAAAAGTTGCAAGCAAGCGCATACTACGCTGAACATGCTTACAATCCAAACTGTTCAATGCCTGACTTGCCGGTGTATAGGCCGGCCGCAATCTGCCCGATTGCCGCAAACATTGCGATGCGGCCGTTGTTGATCTCTCCTCTGCTGCACTTGCACACTTTGAACACGAGCCACGCGCCACGCATGCCGGAGGAACAAACATCAACACGTCCACACACCATAAGCACAGAAACACGTTGAAATGCACATCAACACATCACCACAAATGTGCCATCTTCAAGATTCACAGAAGGTTCGCCAGCAGACCCCAAAAGAAAATCAAAACCATACGTGCTACAGCAAAACTGAACAACAAAGATACATAGTAATCAAGCACCGCAAACAAGAACTGCAAGGCAATTCCAAACAACATTACAAATGCCTCCAAAGCTCGCGAGCGCATCTCGTCGGAATAGTCGTCGAACCAAGGAAGCGGATTGCCAAAGTTTCCGGGCTCCTTGCTCTCATCCTGCACGAAAACGGTCGCCTCCAGAACAGCAATGATGCCAATGGTCAGCAGGAAGCCAACTTGCCCGTTGCCCACGGTGGCCGCCGTCACATCCTTGGGCACACCTTCCATGCCGGGAAGGGTCACCAGGCTCTGCGTCAGCATTCCGAGTGCTCCCATCATTGCCAACCTCCCATGCTTAATCTCCTTTGCGCGCAAGTCCTTGAAAGCAGCCTCATCCGTGCAGAATCCTGCGGGGTCAAAGAAGCCCACCGGCTCCATGGCACCAATCTGCGCTTCCTTGCTGAAGTTGCAGACCACCTTGGCCTTGCGGGCGCTTGGCCTTGCAAAGCTCATCATAGCTGCGCCCGAGACGCCAGAAGCCGCCAGCATCGAGAACGTGGCAATGCCCGATCCTGAGGCGCTGCCAGATGCCGATGGCGCAGTTCCTCGAAGCCCAGAGACCTGCTGAGAAGTTGGCGCCACAAAGGCATCCGCAGGCAAGGCCAGCACGCTCGCAGCCAACATGCTCTTCATGGATGCCATGAGTCAAGTAGTCAAGTAATCCAAAGAGAGGTTCAACAACTGCCTACAGCTCCGGAGCAAACAGCAGCGAGCGAATGCATGGGGAGCCGCCAACATGCGCATTGGCAAAAAAGAAAGGTGCAACACATGATTCGATGTGATTCGCCTTTATCGTAACGTCATCTTACTAAATGAGGAACCCATGGCCATCTGTCCATGCTTGACCAACCCGAATTGATTGCTTGATAATACTGGTATGTGCAACACGCAGACGCCGACTCCTGCCGACTCTTGTTTCCGTCTCTTGGCGTGCATTGCGCGCAATAGGCGCACCGGTGCACATGTGCACCGCTGTGTGCTTGGAAGAACGGTGCTTTTGATGGCCAACCACTTTCATGCCACACGTGCTAACAGCTCTCAGACTCAGCTCTCTTCCAAGCACAAGCTCCTGTCGCCAGAAAATTGCAGGTATGAGACCCGCCAGACTGACGCTTTCCAACTTGGTGCAGAAAGCTGGCACCTGCGAAAATAGTTCAAGATTCTGAAAATGGAAAGCAAGCGCATACTACGCTAAACATGCTTACAATCCAAACTGTTCAATGCCTGACTTCCCGGTGTATAGGCCGGCCGCAATCTGCCCGATTGCCGCAAACATTGCGATGCGGCCGTTGTTGATCTCTCCTCTGCTGCACTTGTTCACTTTGCACGCGAGCCACGCGCCACGCATGCCGGAGGAACAAACATCAACACGTCCACACACCATAAGCACAGAAACACGTTGAAATGCACATCAACACATCACCACAAATGTGCCATCTTCAAGATTCACAGAAGGTTCGCCAGCAGACCCCAAAAGAAAATCAAAACCATACGTGCTACAGCAAAACTGAACAACAAAGATACATAGTAATCAAGCACCGCAAACAAGAACTGCAAGGCAATTCCAAACAACATTACAAATGCCTCCAAAGCTCGAGAGCGCATCTCGTCGGAATAGTCGTCGAACCAAGGAAGCGGATTGCCAAAGTTTCCGGGCTCCTTGCTCTCATCCTGCACGAAAACGGTCGCCTCCAGAACAGCAATGATGCCAATGGTCAGCAGGAAGCCAACTTGCCCGTTGCCCACTGTGGCCGCCGTCACATCCTTGGGCACACCTTCCATGCCGGGAAGGGTCACCAGGCTCTGTGTCAGCATTCCGAGTGCTCCCATCATTGCCAACCTCCCATGCTTAATCTCCTTTGCGCGCAAGTCCTTGAAAGCAGCCTCATCCGTGCAGAATCCTGCGGGGTCAAAGAAGCCCACCGGCTCCATGGCACCAATCTGCGCTTCCTTGCTGAAGTTGCAGACCACCTTGGCCTTGCGGGCGCTTGGCCTTGCAAAGCTCATCATAGCTGCGCCCGAGACGCCAGAAGCCGCCAGCATCGAGAACGTGGCAATGCCCGATCCTGAGGCGCTGCCAGATGCCGATGGCGCAGTTCCTCGAAGCCCGGAGACTTGCTGAGAAGTTGGCGCCACAAAGGCATCCGCAGGCAAGGCCAGCACGCTCGCAGCCAACATGCTCTTCATGGATGCCATGAGTCAAGTAGTCAAGAAATCCAAAGAGAGGTTCAACAACTGCCTACAGCTCCGGAGCAAACAGCAGCGAGCGAATGCATGGGGAGCCGCCAACATGCGCATTGGCAAAAAAGAAAGGTGCAACACATGATTCGATGTGATTCTCCTTTATCGTAACGTCATCTAACTAAATGAGGAACCCATGGCCATCTGTCCATGCTTGACCAACCCGAATTGATTGCTTGATAATACTGGTATGTGCAACATGCAGACGCCGACTCCTGCCGACTCTTGTTTCCGTCTCTTGGCGTGCATTGCGCGCAATAGGCGCACCGGTGCACATGTGCACCGCTGTGTGCTTGGAAGAACGGTGCTCTTGATGGCTAACCACCTCCATGCCACACATGCTAACAGCTCTTAGACTCAGCTCTCTTCCAAGCACAAGCTCCTGTCGCCAGAAAATTGCAGGTATGAGACCCGCCCGGACTCACGCTTTCCAACTTGGTGCAGAAAGCTGGAACCTGCGAAAATAGTTCAAGATATTGAAAGTTGCAAGCAAGCGCATACTACGCTAAACATGCTTACACTCCAAACTGTTCAATGCCTGATTTGCCGGTGTATAGGCCGGCCGCAATCTGCCCGATTGCCGCAAACATTGCGATGCGGCCGTTGTTGATCTCTCCTCTGCTGCACTTGCACACTTTGAACACGAGCCACGCGCCACGCATGCCGGAGGAACAAACATCAACACGTCCACACACCATAAGCACAGAAACACGTTGAAATGCGCATCAACACATCACCACAAATGTGCCATCTTCAAGATTCACAGAAGGTTTGCCAGCAGACCCCAAAAGAAAATCAAAACCACACGTGCTACAGCAAAACTGAACAACAAAGATACATAGTAATCAAGCACCGCAAACAAGAACCACAAAGCAATTGCAAACAATACAAATGCCTCCAAAGCTCGAGAGCGCATCTCGTCGGAATAGTCGTCGAACCAAGGAAGCGGATTGCCAAAGTTTCCGGGCTCCTTGCTCTCATCCTGCACGAAAACGGTCGCCTCCAGAACAGCAATGATGCCAATGGTCAGCAGGAAGCCAACTTGCCCGTTGCCCACGGTGGCCGCCGTCACATCCTTGGGCACACCTTCCATGCCGGGAAGGGTCACCAGGCTCTGTGTCAGCATTCCGAGTGCTCCCATCATTGCCAACCTCCCATGCTTAATCTCCTTTGCGCGCAAGTCCTTGAAAGCAGCCTCATCCGTGCAGAATCCTGCGGGGTCAAAGAAGCCCACCGGCTCCATGGCACCAATCTGCGCTTCCTTGCTGAAGTTGCAGACCACCTTGGCCTTGCGGGCGCTTGGCCTTGCAAAGCTCATCATAGCTGCGCCCGAGACGCCAGAAGCCGCCAGCATCGAGAACGTGGCAATGCCCGATCCTGAGGCGCTGCCAGATGCCGATGGCGCAGTTCCTCGAAGCCCGGAGACCTGCTGAGAAGTTGGCGCCACAAAGGCATCCGCAGGCAAGGCCAGCACGCTCGCAGCCAACATGCTCTTCATGGATGCCATGAGTCAAGTAGTCAAGTAATCCAAAGAGAGGTTCAACAACTGCCTACAGCTCCGGAGAAAACAGCAGCGAGCGAATGCATGGGGAGCCGCCAACATGCGCATTGGCAAAAAAGAAAGGTGCAACACATGATTCGATGTGATTCGCCTGTATCGTAACATCATCTAACTAAATGAGGAACCCATGGCCATCTGTCCATGCTTG